TTTGGGTGGGTGAGTCCCCTCCCACCTCCATTCCTTTCCTGAGCCCCAGAGGAGCAGTTAGCCACACCAGTCCTAAGGATGCGATGGACGAGCAAAAGCAGGCCTTTGTCAAACCCTCGTCTCAAATCAAATACCCCTGTCCAGGAAAACAGGTGATTCTTCTACTCCAATGAGAACATGTGAAAAATGATGTGGGCAGGAGAAATGAACAGAGGCCCAAGGCCACAGGAGAGCTCCTCAGTGCTGCTGGCGGGGCATCATTCAAAGCTGGACGTGTGATTCCTCAGAACCTAGGAAGTGGGAGGTCAGCTCTCCCCACCGCTCGGGTTTCCCATTATTGCTCTGTGCCCCAGAATACCAGGTGCCGTGGATTGCACGGTATCCCACTCCCGAAATTCATCTGCTGGAGTCCTAAACCCCAGTAAGTCAGAATGCGACTGGTTTGAAGATGGGGCTTTTACAGAGGTGATTCGAGTAAAATGAGATCGCTAAGGTAGGCCCTAATCCAAGAGGACCAGCATCCTTATAAAAAGAGCAGGGGGCACAGAGACACACAGAGGGACGACTGCACGAGGACACAGGAGGACACAGCTGCCCACGGGCCAAGGAGAAGAGCCTCAGGAGGAGCCGGCCCTGCCGACACCTGGATCTCAGACTTGCAGCTTCCAGACTGTTCAGAACAAATGTCTGCTGGTGAGGCCCCAGGCCGGCCCAGCAGGCGAACCCAGCATGTCCCCTCTGTTCTCTGTAGCTTTGGCAAGCAGAGTTTCTGCGCCCAAGACTGGGGAGAAAGCAGGTGGGTCCTGCCTGGTTCTCCCCCTGCAAGGACGTTCTGCTCTATTCTTAACTTGCATGGCATTTTTAAGGCATACATTCTTGCCCCTAAATCAAAGCATTATATTTCAAAGGAAATTGAATAAAGCATGCTTTCGCAGCCTCATGGATATGTGTGCTATGCAAACAGCAAAGATCCTTGTCTGAAAGTAATTCTCTCCCGGCTCCCTCGGCCACCGGGGAACGAAATCAAAAGATCGGCAGTGGTTCCAAGCTCATCGTTTGTCAAAGCGAGGAGAAGCTCAAAGCTGCAGACTTTTGTGTCCCGAGCTAAATTTAGCTCATCACACCTCCGAGTTCTGTTCTCTGTCCAGGACCCCCGGCATCCCCAGCGAAAGGATTAGCGGGGCTGACAGCAGTGATGACAGCTTGTGCTTTTAGTTTCTTGCCTCAGACGGTTTTCAAAGGACTCAGGCACCCTGATTTCACTCATGTGTGTTGACACTGGTGGAGGCTGCACAGGGGAGGAGGCCGGCCAGTCTTACAAACCACAGGACAGACGGGGGGGAAGAGGCACATCTGTGCTGCCCCACACACGTGCAGGACGTCAGCCTTTGCGTGGCACTGTCTTCTGTCCTCCCTTTCTTAGGACACACGGCGAGCTACCCTCCTCACAGAGCTCCCACCGTGGAAGGTTCTTGTGGTTCCAAAGGGGGCTGGATGCAGGGGTGGCCTGGGACACTGCTCCTGACTTGTCACCACATGTCCTGCCGGAGCAGCACATGCGTGAGCCCAGGGGGTTCCTCTGTCAGTAAGGATCACGGATGGATGATGCTGGCCCATGGACACTCCTGGGAGAGCCCACCCACCTGCAAAACTGAGGGCAGAAAGAGAGAGAGAGAGGGAGGGAGAAGACCTTCCCTGGGACCCAGGGCATGTTTTCTTATCTGAGCAAAGTGGTACCAAGTGACCACAGTGTCCTCTTAGGGTGGGGACTGCGGGGTGGGAAGGAAACCTCTCCCCTGTTTTCCTTCCATGCCGTGTGCTGGGGGTGGGGGGGTTGGTTAGGAAATCTCTTCTCTCCTGACGTTTCCATGGTGACGGGTGGAAGTGACATTCTCCAGCATGATCTCTACCGCTTGTCTTAACATCACTTCTTCTACCGTTTCTCAGATGGTTCAGAACACAGGTGGGAGGAACGTGGTGATGGGATATTTACTGCCCCTCCGGCTGCCATGCCCCTGGCCCCGAGCACAGCCACTCGCACGATGGGGAAGTCAGTGTGGACTCTGAGCGGTGGTTCTAGATCTTTGTGTTTGCAATGACTCACGCAGGGGCTTCCTGCGAGGGGCAGCCCATCCGTCCTCCGACTCCCACCTTCACTCAGCCTTCCTGGGTTCTGGAGTTGGTCTGGGGATGTCGGGGTGAGGAGGGCCTGGATCCGTCCCTAAGAAGATATCAGCGTCGTGGAGAAGATTGCTGCACGGTGGCAGAAAGGTCACACTCCTGCGGCCGCCCAGATCTTCGTCAATGCCTCTGAAGCCCCTCCTGGCCGGGCCCCAGAGCCCCCATTCTCCCTCTGCAGCTTCGCCAGCCCCTCCCGACAGAGGGAGCCCTCCGTCCCTGCTCGCCTCTAGGTCAGCTCCGTCCCTTCCTCTGGGCTTTGGTTAGATGCTGTCTCCCCGATCACCACGATGAAGCTCGGGCCACCAACAAAGAGCAGCGTGGGCTGGACGGCTTCGGTGGCAGAACTGCACCCCTCACGGCCCCGGCGGTGTAAGGCGGACCCGTTCCTTCTGCGCCTCTCTCCTTGGCGTGTAGACGGCCGTCTTCTCCCTGCGTCCTCACAGGGCCGTTCCTCTGTGCCCCCGTGTCCTGATCTGCTCTTGGTAAAGACACCAGTCCTGTTGGATTAGGACCCGCCCCTCATTTTACCTTGATTATGACCTCATTTTACCTTGATTACCTCTTCAAAGACCCCATCTCCAAACAGTCCCATTGGGTGCCAGGGGTTCGACACAGGAGTTTTGGGGACACATAATTCAGTCCATAACAACCACCCAGTCCCTAGAAAAATGTCCCTGCTCTGGGAACACCATATTCCCCCACCCCTGCACTGCTGGCCCCTTGCGCCCCGCACCCCCACCTGCTTCAGGAAGGTTCACAGTCTGTCTTCCCAGCCAGGGCGTGAGCTCCAAGACAGCAGGGGTTCCCAGGTCTGTTTCCCTGTTTTCCAAACACTTGCACAGAGCCCCGGGCACACAGCTGCACTTTAGGAATGGGAATTTAATGCGGGGTCCGGCAAAGAAGGAGCAAGGAGGCGGGCTGGCCGGGAATGGGCCCGGCGGAGGCTCCCAGGGTTTTGTCTTGTCGAGGTCCAGCAGATGTTGCCAGGACTGTGGGCCCCCTGTTGAATATAGGTGGGAGGAACGTGGTGATGGGATATTTACTGCCCTCTCCTGCTGCCATGCCCCTGGCCCCCGGCACAGCCACTCGCACAATGGTGGTACCAACCAGTGTGGCTCTTACCACCACGCCATCCCTCCTGAGAAGTCAGTGTGGACTCTGAGCGGTGGTTCTAGATCTTTGTGTTTGCAATGACTCACGCAGGGGCTCCCTGCGTGCCAGGAAGGCCTGGCAGTGGGGAGTGTGTTGGGGAGCGGGAGGTGCCGGAAACAAGGCAGGGGGCCACGGGGCCCCAGGAGTGACAGCCTTCCTCCTCTTGCCACAGGAGTGGCTGCTCCCTCCTCTCAGCAGAACAAAAATCCCTTAGAGGAGGAGAGTGTGTCTACAGAGCTGAAATGCCAGCGGGGTGGATCCTGTTCACCTGGGAGGGTCAGGGTGCAAGGCCCTGTTTCCAGGCAGCCCACAGGTGACCAGAAGTCACCCCAGACTTGTCACTGAGCCCTGGTTTGACTCTTCAGCAGCTGCCAGTGGACTCAGAAGAAGCCCCCCCACGACCTGGCCCCCCTCTGACAGACTGTCCTCCGGATGGTGGATATTCCCAAAAGGTGACCCACAGTTCTTCACAGTGGCCAGTGGCAGCAACTCTCTGTGCCGTGCTCGGCTCTCCAGACCTCTGATAGCCTTGCATGTCCGTCTGATGGCCGCAGACCCAGGAGCTGGGATGGAGCTCAGCTGTCCCTGCTCCTGCGCCCAGCTCTACCTCCCTCCCCGTGGCCGTGGTACCAACCAGTGTGGCTCTTACCACCACGCCATCCCTCCTGAGACCATTGGCATCTGGGGTTATCTTCTAGGTCAGCTTTGCCTGCTGCTGACACGAGTCTCCCAAAGGTCAGGAAAGGGACCTGCTGGTGAGCAGAGGCGGTGGGATCCCTCAGGCATATCCAGGCAGACCCCACCATCCCTTTGCAGCCCGCAGCCAACCGGGATTTCACATGGCATGTTTGCTGGGTATAACGGAAAGAGAGAGATGGAACAAGTCCAAACGCCACGCACCCGCTCATTAGCTATGTCCTGAGCATGTCCTTTGCAAGCCTGTTTCCCACCTTCATACGGGGTAGCTTAGCCATTAAGAAATGGACGTCATGACTACAGCAGACACCGCGGAGGCACTGAGTACACCCGTAGTCCCTCCGTCGTTAGTAAGACCTAGGGTGAGTGGGCACAGGGGTCCAGGAGCCAAGCCACAGGGCAGCATGGACGTCAGGGCGGACTGGGCCTGCGTTATGGGGCCCCTGGAGCATCAGGATCCAGGACGGCTGACGGGTGTTGGCCTCGGGCCAAGAATAGCTGCTTCTCACCTTCTCCAACTTCAGCACCATTTCAAGGGGTGGAAGAGAGCCAGGAATGTGGGACAAATTGTTAAAAGTAAGGGATTCATTAAAAAAATGCAAAACAATAGAAAACTGTCTACCACATTTTATCAGGCAGACACAAGCCTCTTCTTTCTCCCCTTGCTACTGGTTACCTACTTCTGTTCTCTACCTCCTTCTATTTTTGATTTAGTGACGACTAGCTTTCAATTGTCACAAGCCTATCGACAAAGCCAAGTGACATTATTTTTTTTTAATTTATTCAATCTTTTATACCAAAATCTGTGAAAGGTTTCTTTCCATTAGCCTGCTTTCAGGGAAACAGCAGATATTTTATTTTATCTACATTTTTTTGATTATGTTATGTTAGTCACCGTACAGTACATCATTAGTTTTTGATGTAGTGTCCATGAGCCGAGATGCCCTTCAACGGACGAATGGATAAGGAAGATGTGGTCCATATATACTATGGAGTATTACGCCTCCATCAGAAAGGATGAGTACCCAACTTTTGTATCAGCATGGACGGGACTGGAGGAGATTATGCTAAATGGAATAAGTCAAGCAGAGAGAGTCAATTATCATAGGGTTTCACTTACTTGTGGAGCATAAGGAATAACACAGAGGACATGGGGAGATGGAGAGCAGAAGGGAGTTTGGGGAAATTGGATGGGGAGATGAACCATGAGAGACTGTGGAGTATGAGAAACAAACTGAGGGTTTTGGAGGGGTGTTGGGCGACCCTGGTGGTGGGTATTAAGGAGGGCACGTGTTGCACGGAGCACTGGGTATTACACGCAGACATACCCAAGTGACATTAAACAGCATCTGTGCATGTCATGAGAAGTGAGAACACGTAAGCTTGAAACCTCTTTCTTAGGGACGCCTGGGTGGCTCAGTGGGTTAAGCCTCTGCCTTCAGCTCAGGTCATGATCTCAGGGTCCTGGGATCGAGCCCCACATTGGGCTGTCTGCTCAGCAGCCTGCTTCCCTGCTCTCTCTCTCTGCCTGCCTCTCTGCTACTTGTGATCTCTGTCAAATAAATAAACAAAATCTTAAAAAAAAAAAAAAGAAACCTGCCTCTTTCCCAACCTCCTATTCTTGTTAGATAATATATCAGCACCATTTCTCTTTTAAACACTCTGCTCTTTTTATTTGTTTTTTAAGATATCATTGTTTAGAGTGCCTGGGTAGCTCAGTTGGTTAAGCAACTGCCTTCAGCTCAGGTCATGATCCTGGAGTCCCGGGATCAAGTCCCACATCAGGCTCCCTGCTCTGCACGGAGCCTGCTTCTCCCTCTGACCTTCCCCCTCTCAAGCTTGCTCTCTCTCATGCTCACTCTCTCTCAAATAAATAAATAAAATCTTAAAAAAAAAAACCTATCACTGTTTACTTGGCATTACCAATGTGTCCACGGTGTCCGCTCTTTGGGTTTTCTTGCAGGTTTGCCAATTCCCGTTGGCTTTGATTTCCTACTTGCTGGGGTGTGTCCTTTCACACAACTTTCGAAAAGGCTCTCTGAGTGTCAAACAGTGGACAGTGAACTCTTTGGGTTTGTCTGAAACTCTCTGAAGGGCAGATTAACTGGATATAGAATTTCTAGGTTAAGAGTTATTTCCTTCATATTAAAAAACTTATTGTATGACAAATTCCATACTTCGTGCTGCTGTCGTCTCGTCTCCATTTCACTCCGGCTCTTTGGTTCTTGCCGACCTCTCCTCTGGTGAGGTTAAAGACTCTCCCTTTGTCTCCGGAGTTCTGCGGATTCCACGATTTTCTTTTGGTCGATGGGCTTCAACAGTTTTACCACAAAGTGTCCTCGTGTGGATTCATTCTACTTATTTTGCATGGGACTGTTTGGGTTTCTTCAATCGGAGAGCTTACATCTTTCTTCACTCTTGAAAAACGAGCAGCCATGTTCCCTTCACTAAATATAATTTTAAACAGATGCAGAAGTTCACTGTCCTGTCCTTGTCTGAGCCGATGTCACTCCGTCCCTGCTGCCTTATCAGCCGTCGCTGCTGCCCTTCCCGCTCAGCGCACCTGCCGGCCGTGCCTAGTCTCCCGGTCCCTCTCTGGAAGGAACATCTGGTCTGTGACTATGCTTTATATGCTTTCTTGGTCCTTGCCCCCTTCTCATATCCCCTAGAACTTTTAACCTGTTTTGAAATTTCGCTCACCTTTTTATTACCTCTCTCGCAAGTGTAAACATGAAAGCCACACCCCCACGACAATTTTGGGTTCATGGGGAGCCCTTTCATGCTCCCACAGGACAAAGATTTAGACATTCCTGGTGGGGGTCCAGTGCTTGGCCTCAGGCCCTGGTTCCAGAACCCTGGGGAGGCATTTGGCTCATGCTCTCCCCCGTCCCCGTGAGGTCCTTTTTCATTTCTGACCTTCTGGGTTTTTGCTCTGGCTGGTGGTCTTTGTTATACGTAACCTCTGACCTCCACATCCCCTCCAGTAGCTACACCACAAGGCTCAACAGTAAGGCCTCAAACAGTCTAATGGAAGAGGGGAATCCTCCCCCCAAGAATTGTGCTTCTCACCGTGGGCCCTCACGGAGGCACCCAGGGTTAAGAATCCATGTTTAAAAGAACACACGTCTCATGGGATCTGGAATCTCTCTCCTCGGAATAGATCCGAAAGAAATGACGTCACGGTCTCAGACAGGTTTCTGCCCACCCAAGCTCACTGCAACATTACTCACGACAGCTGAGACATGGGGCCGCCCAGGCCCCCATCGATGGATAACCGGATAGAGCAAACGTGCCATGTGCACACGTATATGCGGGAAACCTACCATCCGCAACACCGTGGTTGAGGACGTCATGCTGAGCGAAATGGGATAGAGGAAGACAAATACCATGTGATATGTTGGGCACAAAGAACCAAAAAACCCAGCTGGTAGGAACAGAGTTGAGTGGTGGTTTCCAGGGCAGAGGGACGGGGGGAATAGGAAGATGTTGGTCAGAAAGTGCCAATTTCCAGTCATAAGGTGAGTGTGTTCTGGGGCCCTAGTGTGCAGGATGGCGGTTATGGTTAACAACGCTGTGTTCTGTCTCCAAAGTTGCTGGGAGACTAGATCTTTCATGTTCTCACTACAGAAAGAAAGAGAGAGAGAGAGAGGAAGGAAGGAAGAAAGGAAGGAAGAGAAAGAGAGAGAGAGGAAGATAGGAAAGAAGGAAGAGAGGAAGGAGGGGAGGGAGGGAGGGAGAGAGAGAAAGAGAGAGGAAGGAAAGAAGGAAGGAAGGGAGGAGAGGAGGTGCTAATGTGAGGTTCTGACCGTACCTGCCAACCGGGTTGTGGCAATGATTCCTAGACACACCTGGATGTCAGCGTCCTCACCGTGAACCCCCAAGCTCACACAGTGTTTTGTGTCAGAAAAGCTGGAGGAAAGAATACTGGTCAGCACGGCCAGATCCCCGCTGTCTGTCATCTGTTGTCAACACCTTTGAAAGGCAGATAACCCAAGTGTGGCGGAGATGTGCCTCTGCGGGTTCCGGCATACGCGTGAACGTGATGTACGCACAGAAGGGATTCTGGAGCGGTGTCTCCCCGAGGACTGGAAACAGCTTCTTCTTCAGGGTTCCGCGGTCATGAGTGACTCCGTTCCTTCCGTCTATGCAAATGCAGCTGTGAGATTTTATGATAAACATCTGTTTGTTTCCTAAGCCTTGTCAGCTGCTGTTGGAAACAAGGGAGACTCTCAACACAGGAACAAAACCCCCTTTCCACAGGAAGGGAACGGAATTCACCCGACACACGGGGGCTACTCTCGGGAAAGGTCCTAAATCCAGGCTGAGAATGGGGCTGGTGCCCTCCACTTGGAGGCTGAGTTCTGAGGTCACTCCTGAGCCCCACCAGAGAGCCCGGCACAGTCTCCTCCAGGGGACCCAGCACCCCCTCCCCACACTCGCCTGGATGCCTTGGCCTAATTCCATAAAACCAGTGCGAGGATCTGCCGTCATGGAAACTGCTTCCCAGAAAGTGGTGCGTGTCCTCTGGGGGCGGTTCCCAAAGACCAGACCTCCTGCCTGCGACGTAGCAGGCAGCCGTCCTCTGGGTCCCCCAGGGGACCATTTGGTTGGAATCTTTCCGGCATATCCCCAGGGAGCTGGGATAATTCCACCGGAGGCAGCCTCGTGGACGCAGACCCTCAGGCACACAGCACGTGGGCCACACTGAACCCCAAGGTCACAGGGCGGGGTCGCACCTGCAGAACCGGCCAGGCTCCAGGGGCTCCTTCTCACCCACCTGCTCGTGCATCTCCTCACCCATCTTCCGCATCGGGAGTCTGAGGTCCAAGTCACTCCCAGCACCCCCGACAGTGATTGCCAGCCCATCGCCTGCCCATTCAGATTCAGAACGCTGACCCGCGACAGAGCACGGCCCATTAGGACAGTGATCAGATTGTAAACGGTCCGTTTGGCTATCGAGAAGGTTCCTCAAAGGGCTAATTCCGCTTGTGTTAATGAGGGCCCTTTTGACGTCCTAGTGCTGCTTTTCTTGGCGGGTGACGGATTTACGATTCATGGAGGATTTTAATATTAATGTTGGCCTGATGGAAGATAAATCGGACACAGAATTTATCGGCCTAGTAAAGAATTAGATGTTCCCCCTCCCCCTGGCTATGAAGACAGCAGGAGGGATTTGTCCGTTCATCTAGGCGTTTGTGGCTGAGCCGCGTTTCGGGGATCTCCAGGTAGCCGCGGCGCCATAGGAAGGAGGCGTGCACCCCGGAGGAGAAATCAAGGGGGGACGCTCCAGCACGCGGCCCTGTCATGGGAGGGCAGGGGGTGGGGAAGCTCGTGAAATCCGCACCTGTTTCTGGGGCCTCCACTGCCCTTTCCACTGGCTTTTACTGGACCTGCCGACATGACCCCACAGCTGGACCGGCTGGTGCCTCATGGGGGGCGCCCAGGAAGAACCCAGGAGGAGAATAAACTGCTGGTGCCTTTGGTATCTCCTGCCCGCGCATCTTCCCAGGCTCCCTGCTCCCTCCTGTCTTTCAGGTACAATTTCCACAGCTCAATAGTTGGATTCTTCTCTGGTCTTCCCGACTTACACACGCAGGTAAGACCAGCCCCGCGTTTGGTGGTTAGTGAGCACTCCCTCCCCGAAAGGCCAGATCCTGGGGAGTTTCTCAGGTCCTCCTCCCCTGGTCCTGACACGGTTCCACCCACCCGGAAACATCAGGACTGACCCCACGACAACGAGGCCCACAGCGAGGCCAGCGCGGTCAGGAAGTCCCCCGAGGTTACCGAGCAAAGAGCACGGCCGGCACCAGAAGCTGCCCAGCTCCAGAGTCAAACCCTCACCTCCGTCCCGTGTCCCCTTGTGTGGCTGTCAAGAGTGCGACCTGTGCCGTTCCCTCTGCGGGGCTCCTGAGCAGTGTGTGTGCGGATTTTGTTCTTGAAGTTTCTGTATGAATTCCTCAGGCAAGCGCTTGTCACCCAGCTTGCAGGAATCATGTCACCAGGGCTCTTAGCCCCCGGGCAGCTCCATGGGCCCCGGCGCCCAGTGCACAGGTGGACACAGGGACGGCATCCCAGCCGGCCCCCATCAACGGCGCAGCCGGCACTCCAGGACTACTTCCTCGCAACAGGAATCACAGGGCTTTTCGCTCTTGAATGACTCAGCTCAGACAATGGGGAACACGACGGCCAACTTGACCGGGGACTTTCTAAATACGGCGGGGAGGCAGGATCATGCTCCTGCAGAATGAAGACCCCCGCGTGGAAATGGCAGCAGCCCCTGAGATAAGCCGACCCCTCCCGCGGGCTTCGTCCTTCCCTTGCTCAGGGTCTGTTCTGTTTCCACCCCGATTAGGGGGCGGCCCTACCATTCCGACACGCGCCCTGCAGGGCTACCCTCAGACCGGGCAACTGAGGGCTGGACCCTGCCCCCACACGGCTCCATTTCAAGCGCAGCTGCAGGGGGAGCCCCCGGACACTTGAACTTCCGACCGACCGGCTATGAGCTCAGCGGCTTCCGGGACCCTCTCCGGGTCTGATTATTTGTTGGAGGCAGAGCTTAAGAGAGCGTCAGGCTACGGTCTGACTATAAAGGAAACACAATGATAAGACCCACACAGGGAGGTCTGGGAGGGAGCACAGAGCTTCCGAGCCCTCCCCACCAGGAGCCCGAGTGTGTAACCCTCTGGGCATGTCGGTGTGTCCACCAGCTAGGAGGCTCCCTGAGTCTGGGTGTCCACAGGTGTGACGGGAATTTTCATGATGCAGACACAATTGATCAAATAACTGGGTGTGGGATTGAACCCAACCTCCAGGCCCTCTCCCCTGGTGGAGACCTCGCTGGCTCCAAGCCCCAGCCCGAGAACCATGTGGCCGGGCTTTCTGGGGTCCAGCCCCCACCCGGACCCTCCGGGGGGGCCTACCGGGAGCCAGTGCCCCAGTGTAGCAGACACTCCTATGCTGAGGTCGCTCCAGGGGTTTCTGAAACTCACTGAACACACCCAGCATTTTAAAATCGTGGCCAAAGGAGCCCAGAGGGCAAGTCAGGCACATTATCAACCACTTGGGGCCACTCCCCACCGAGCCAAGGGCGTCACTTTCCTGCGTGATTCTGTGATTCTGTGTGCAATGAAACCCAGAAAGGACTTGTCAGCCCCCGTGCCCTTCTGGCTCTGTTTCCTTCCTTGTTGACTTTTCGACGGACTGGCTTAAATAAACTCTTCTTACAGGGATGAAAGGGCATCAGCGGGACGTCCTCTCCCTCTGGTGTTCATCTAAGCGGGGGAAACTGTCCAGATGAGGAACAAGCATGTGCTAAGCGAGGCCAGACCCACGACCCCCATCCCGCCATCTGTCTCCGCTGCTGGCGGCTCCCGGCTCGTGCACACGAGGTCCTGGGTCTCCAAGGTGTCCACACGCACCGTGTTGGCCAGGATTAAAGAGGGGCCCGGTGGGCTCATACCAGGGAGCCCCGAGCCTGACCCGGCAGCTCAGCTGGCTCGGGCACCGTAACAAAATGCCACAGACACTGAGGCTTCCGCAGCCCTCCATGGCTCACAGTCCCGGAGGCGGGGCTGTTCTGGGTCAAGGCGCCGGCAGATTTGCATCCTGGTGAGAACTTTCCTCCTGGCTTGCAGAAGGCTGCGTTCTCATGGTGTCCTGCTGTGGTGCAGAGAGAGAGAGCGCGCTCCTAAGGGCACCCGTCCTACAGGATTGGGGGCCTCAATCTTGTGACCTCAGTTACCGTAATGACTTCCTTGGAGACCCAGCTCCAAAGCCAGCCACATGGGGGTTAGGACTTCGTCGTTGCAGGGGTGCGGGGAGACACAATTCCGTCCACAGCACCAGGGTTTCCTGGGCAGGGTGACAGGAAACACGTCAGAAGTTGTTTTTCGACGCCCTAAGAGAAATTTCCTCTCATTGCTCTGATATCAGACGGCGCAGGTTTTCCCACACCGGGAAATTCTCCGAATCCCAGTGGCCGCAGGTCTCGGCCGGTCCACGCCCACGCTCCCGCGCCCTCAGTCCTGCACTGGAGCTACGAGAACAGTCTTTCTGCCTCAATGGGCTCTCTTCCCGCTTGAAGCTCCAGGGGCTGTTTCAGGACGCGGTTTCCATAGCCTTTCGCATTTTCAAAAGGAGGTAAAAACCTGCAACACGTTCTGGCTAAATAATCCACGAGAACCGTCTAAGGCTGTTTAAGCGCCCGACGTAGAAGGGAAATTGTCCCAGCCGAGGCGCGGTGGTTCATTCCGCCAAGAACACGGACGCTGTCGCATTCCAGAGACGCAAGAGACTCCGTGGGCGAGCTCGTCCGACGCCACTTTGAATAAAACGCTTTGTTATTAAATAAAACCTCCTCACACACCGGGACAGTGAGGGCTCGCCGGGTCAGTCGTTTGGGTTTGAAATCTCCTGTAATAGGAATTTCCAGAGGGTATTGCAAAGCCCCTAGATGGGCACGAAAGAAACATTGCATGAAGCCGCTCAAGACGCGCTGGGGCGACGGCCTCCGTAAACGTCCGTGAGCACGTGTGCAGGAGGCGCACACAGCTTGCTCGCGTGTGCCGCGCTCTGGAGGGCAGGTTTGGGGGGGGGTGGCCACGCGCCTCCTGTCTTCACTGCAGAGCCAGCCGCCCACCCGGACCCGGCTCGCGCACTCAGCAGGGAACAAGCCGTCCCGGTGCTGCAGGCTGGAGGCCTGGGGTCACCGCACACAGCGGACGCCCCTCTGACCTTCTGGAAGGAAGGGGCTCTGGGCCTCATGGGCCGGGTCTGCCCACCGCTAGCGCCTGGTGTTTCTCATTTCCGCCTTCTCCTCGCCTGGGCTCCGGGAAGACGCCAGCCTGCCTGTGGGGTGTGGCTGCCTCTCCCCGGCCTCATGCCTTCAGCACCTTTGGCAAGTCACAGGGGCCCCTCCGATACACATACGTGGCCCTTTAAGGATTGGGGGTGTATGGTATACGACACTTCTGTGGTTGCCGTGACAAACGCTGCGGCTTGAGACAGCACAGATCCGGAGGCCGGAGGCCCGCTGCACGTACTGGCGGAGCTGCTCCTGCTGGAGGCCCTGGGGAGCCTCCCCCGGCTGCTGGCGATCCTTGGGGGTCCCGGGTTATAAACGCGCCTGCGCTGCCTGCCTCCACACTCGCGGGGCTGTCTTCCCTCGGAGGGTCTCGTTCCTGGTCTGACAAGGTCACCCGCACCTTGGATTAGCCGTCCCTGCTCCGGATGACCTCATCCTAACTAACGACATCTGTAATAACGCTATGTCCAAGCACGGTTGCCTTTGGGGGTCCCGGGGTTATGACGGCAGCACACCTTTCTGAGGGACACAGTGTAACGCGCAACAGATGACTTTCTGCTCTTGGTCGCTGCCGAGGCCACAACCGGGCGTCCAGAACCCGAGATGCATTGACTCAAGTCCCCCACAATAATGAAGCCCCTGGTGGGCATGGCGCAGGGCCCTGGGATTTCACAGCGAGTAAACAGAGGGTGCACACCTGCGGGGGGCCGCGGCAGGCAGAGGTGAGGACGGAGGAGCTGGGGGAAAGGGATGCAGGGGCTTGTATGGAGCTTGAACCAAGGAGGCAGTGGGGGCTTGGCCTTGGCCAGAGCAGAAGATGGAATGAAAAGACCCTGGGGCGAATGGAGTCAGGGAGACACAGCGCAGCCGGGCGGGTACAAGCAGGCCCACCAACAAATCTGAAAAAGGGGGAAGGGGGTGCCTGGGTGGCTCAGTTTGTTAAGCCACTGCCTTTGGCTCAGGTCGTAATCCAGAGTCCCGGGATCGAGTCCCATATCAGGCTTCCCCCTCTCCCTCTGCCTGCCACTCCTCCTGCTTGTGCCCTCTCTCTCTCTACCTCTTTCTCTCTGTCTGTCAAATAAATAAATAAAATCTTAAAAAAAAAACACAAACAACTAAACGACTTAACTAGCTGGACAATGGCTACAGCATGATATCGGCTGAGAAGCTCTAGAGCAAAGCTGTACTGCAGTGTGTTTGCAACCCACGGGAATGTGGCCGTAACGGGAGATCGTGCGGAAAACGCCGGTGACGGCACCGCGGGTGGTGTGATCCCCGCTGAAGGTCTTCGTGTGCGAAGAGGAGGTACTCGGTGCACGTGGGCTTAGGAAACGGAGCTCGGCGAGTCGCTCGCAGTGACTGTTCTGGGTGGCGGTGCTCTGGGTCATATGTACAAGTTCACGTTTCTTGTTTTCACGTCTCTGTAACGTGGCTTCATGGAAGAAACCAGGGGCGATTCGGGAAAACGTACTCTCGTGGAGCGTTGGAGAGTAGCAGAGGGCACTGGACCTCTCCTTCCTCAGTGGCTTTGCTGAGTCTCATGTCCTAAGTTTTCCTCCGGGAGACGGCCTCCGCGCATTGGCCCCGGGCGTCGGGTCGTCTGCTCCGGGGCGGGGGGGGGGGGGGGGAACGCTGGCTGCCGTGACAGCGCACTGCAGGGACGGCCTTACTGGATCCCACAGCTTCTCGCTCCGCTTGGTGGGAGCCCCCGGGGCGACCGCGGGCACCTTCCAGGTGAGCAGGAGTGGAAGAACAAGTCTATTTGGGACGAAGGTGAGAACAAAAAAGGGGCAGCTTGAGTGCGTGCATGTGTGCGTGTGCGAGTGTGCGACGGGGGTGTGAACCAGGGGCCGAGGGCAGGCTGATTCGTCGGGACATAAGGAGGACAACTCCTATCTCCAGGGACCATCCGTCAGGCCATTTTCACCCGCACTTCATCCCCTCAGAGCAAAGCTCATACTTTAGCATTTTCAATATATATTTTAAGGGTCTGACTTGAAAACCCAGAAGCCGGGAAACCTGAGCTCAGGCTGGAATTCTCTCTGCAAACAGGTCTGGGCCAGTGCAAACGACATGAATTATACCCACCATTACCTCAAGACATGCTGCTCCGAGTTGGCAC